AGATGCTCACTATAACCTCCAGAAAGGCCTCCTTCTCAGGACACCAGTTTTCCCTCCCATAAAATGGGTACCCTACCATGCTCTCAAGGTTCTAGAGGGGGGTGGGGAAGTAGAATTTTGTATGTCTGACAGTGCCCCCAGCAGAGGCCCCAAACCCAACTGCCAACAGGGTAGTTGGGCAGGCAATGAGACTTGAAGAGAGCCAGCCTATCCTTTCTGAAGGATTAGCTTCTCCCAGCTCCCCTAGTACTGGCCTACAAATGCAGACCTAGTATAGGCACATCTTCAAATTTTTCAACCAAAACCAGAAAGCTGATCTTATGTGAAGTCTTCCAATTTGTAAATGCTTGCAACAAATCCTACTGCTGATGAACATGTGTTACAGGTGAGCATGTGCACAGATGAGATGTCCCCAGAACAGCAGGACTGCTGGTGACAGAGGGACTGTGAGACACGGCAGGGCCCTCACTGACAGGGAGCCCTCACTCCATACATGGGCCAGGCCCTGCTGTAAAACATCATCTGGTTCATCCTCAGAGCTGTCCTTGGTGATCAGAACTGCTAGCCCTGGAGACCCACAGACACAAGGGTAGTGCTGGCTCCAGGAACCACAGCCCTGCTTCCAGCTTCTCCTCCCTGCACCCAGTGGGAACTCTACAAAGCACAAATCAGACTGTGCCATCCCCTGCTTTATACCTCCAGTGACTCTCCACTGCTCTTGGGACAAAGGCCAATCTTCATTCTGGGAATAAACATGTCTTTCATCGTCCCACCTACCTCCTTTCAACCCCTCACAAAGTCATCTGATATCAGGGTCTTTGCAGGTGCTACTTCCTCTGCACCATCTTCTCACTGCTTCCCACACACCCTGGTAACATGCCTTACATCTGCTTTACATCTCCTTGAAAGCATCACTTCCTCCAGGAAGCCTCCCATGACTTCTAAGGCAAGTCAACTCCCAGACAGGCTAGCAGAGCACTGGGCCTCCACTCCACAGCCCACGTCACAGGTCACACATTCACATCAGCAGGATTACTGGATCCTTTATCCATGAAACCATAGGCTCTGAGGGCAAGGACTCTGCTGGGCTTTACTCAACATTGTACGGTCAGCATCTACCACAATCTATGCACACACTGGGCACTCAAAAAAAAAAAAAATACTGGAGAAACTGCTTTCTGTGTGTTCAAGAGAGGTGGCCTGTCCTCTCTGGAACTCCTTTTTCTCCTCTGGAAACATGAGCACCAATCTGACATGGCTGCTGGGAGGATGAGAGAGGCCAATCATTGTAGAGTGCTTAGCATTCATTGTCTAGCACAAGTCCTGAGTGCTAGACAGTGTCTGCAATTGATATAAACAATAACTAGAATTTTAAAAAGCTTCTCTGGTAACCAGAATGTCAAAGTATTCAAAGTCTGCCACCCCTGGAGATTCTGGTCAAGTGAGGCCCTGAGGAGGAAGAGACCACGGTGCTGCCACATGTCCTGGGGGACCACAGACGTGGTACCAGAGCCTTTTCCAGGAGAATCCTCCAGCTCTCCCAGAGTCTCTGACCCTGAGGGTTGGCCTGACTCCTTCCTCTGTGGCCCAGGAGGCTGGGGGTGGGGTGAGATCCATAGCACCCTCCATTTTGCCAGCCCAGTGGGAGAAACCACCCTCCCAAAGCCCCCTGAGCAACTACAGACGTCAGAACCCTTCTTCTCAGCACAGGGAGCTGGGCATGTGGCTTCTATTAAGCCACATCTGGACATACTCAGAGCTGGGAACAGCCCAGCTGAGGCAGCCTGGATCCCTGGCACAGCTCTGGCTCAAAGGGAGGACCCCCGCCCAAGCTGGGCCTGGAGCATTGGCTCCTTCTCCAGGCAACACAGCTGGGGGGGGGGGTCCCTTGTACCCCTTTCTGCCTCTCCATAGGCCCTACTGCTGAGCCAGCTATCTCTCCAGTTTCTCCCCACTGAGAGCTCCTCCACCAACTAGGAACCCTAGCCCTCTCCCACAACTGCATCCCAATCCCCACATCCCCAGGATGCTCTAAAAGGCAATATGATTCCCCTATTTGGCCTCACATCACCCACTCTTAGTTATCACCACAGATAAGTCTGTGTTTGTTTGTCTGTTTTATGTTCTTCTCCTCCATAACACCACAAAATGGGAGAGGCTATGCCTGTTCACTGGTATGACCCCCAGCACAGAGAGACAGACATCTGTTGAAGAAAGTGGGTAGAAGAATGGATGAATGATATCCACTAACATTTTTAATTACTCAGCAAGTATTAAGCTCTGTGCTAAGCATCTGATATGCATTAGCTCATTTAATCCTCAATAGTCCCATGAATTAGGGACTGCTCTTCTCTGCTGCTTTACAGATGAGGAAACTGAGGTACAAAAGACTTAAGCCTCTTGCCTGAGTCACACAGGCAGTTGAAGCAGAATATGTGAATGGGTGGGCAGATAGGCAAGTGGGAGGAAGAGGTGGATGTGCTATGGATGTCAGGTTGGTCCTGGTTTATCAGGAAGAGCCTCATCTTGGGTCTCATGTAGATACCTCCTGGCCCCCTCCACAAACACACACACACACACACACACACACACACTTTCCCTTCCCTCTACATCCCTGTCTATGCCGAGTCATTCTGCCCTCTGGGACTCTGCATGTGCTGGGCTCTCAGCCATGGCAACCCTCAGATGGTAGAGGAACAGTAAATTAGGGACCCCTCTCCTCCAGCAGCCCTCAATAAGAGCCACATGCCAGAAAACCCAGAGAAGAGAAAAGGCTGGGTCGTGTGAGAACAAACACTTTCTCCAGGATTCCAAAAGCCCAGAATCACAGCAAGGCCATGGGCAGCCAGAGGCAGGGGCTGGGTGGGGGCTATGGCTATTTTGGAAACCCTAAAGTCTGCAGCCCAGACAAACTGCACCCTGCAGGAAGCCACTCCGGAACCCTGCCCAGGCTCTCACTAGCACCTCTGTGCAGCCCCACACCCCACTCCCAAGCACAGCCCCATGTACACATGCCCCATAGACCCAAGGCTAAGGAAGAAGCAAAGGAGGTGCCCTGAAGTCCAACATCCCTGTCCTAGCAGGACACCTGCAACTGTGTGACCTAGGGCCACTGAGCTCACCTCTGTGACCTCAATTTCAGACAGGGATATCAAGGCCAACTCTGAGCCTGTGGGGAAAATCAAGTCACAGAAACAGTGCCTGGCCCCTGTAAGTGCTTAGCCAAATGAATTCCCCTCACCACAAGCAGGCTGGAAGCAGGGCCATGTGGACCACAGAGCTCCCCAGTTCCACCACTCATTGCAGGCACACCCACTGTACCCATAGCAGGGCCTCATCAATGTGGGGAGCAATGATAGACATGAACATATAGCCAGGCCAATAAGAGACCTGCCTGAGGCCACAAAGTAGGAGTGGCAGCATGGGTCTCCAGGTAGCCTTCCCAGATATCACCTGGGCATACACTCCATGGTCCAGGGCCACATTGCTCCATCCCTGCCTCCCCAGTGGCCCTCTAGGGCCTGCACACAAGACATGGACTGGACTGGGCAGGGGTACAGATGACTGGCAACTCCCAGGGTACACTCAGAGCTGGGGGGGGTGGGGAAGAGAGGGGTCAGACAAGACCCAAAGCCCAGCCCAGGGCAGGGAAGATTCTGGCAAGACTTCTTGGAGGAGGTACTGCCTGAGCTGAATACCAGACCCTGTGAGCAAATACATGACCTCAAGGAAGATAGTATGAGGTGTGATGGAGAGAGGAAAAACTGAGAAAGAAGAGTGGTCAGATCCTACCTCACCAATTCTTTCATCCCACCAGTATTAACAATGCATCAACTGTGTCAGGCCCTGTCACAGGTGCTCAGGCACAGCAGCGGGTACAGCAGATAGGGTCCCTGCCCATGTAGGCTATCATTCTACTGGGGGAAATAGGTGACACACAAGTAAACAAGTAACTACTGTACATGTTTTCATGTCAGGCACTGCTGAGAGAACATAAACCAGAGCAGGAAGAAAGGGTGCGGACCTCTTCTAGCTAGTGGGAGGATCAGGGAAGGCCTCTTTGAGGAGGTGACATGGAACAGAGAGCTGAATGAAGGGAGGGGTGTACCACAAAGACATCTGGAAGAACATTTCAAGAAAAGGGAGTGGCAAGTGCAAAGGCCCTGAAAAGAAGAAGGGATAGTAAATGGGCCAGATTTACAGGGCCTGTGACCTTGGTGAGGACGTGAGCTTCTACTCTATAGAGGCAAGAGCCCTGGGACGTTCTGAGCAGAGGAGAGATGAGGTCAGACTTGTGTGTTAACCAGACCCCTGGCTGGAAATGGTGGCAGACCTGGTAGGAAACCAGGATCCCATAAGAAGCCCCCACAAGAGACCACAAATGTAGCCATTCCCAAAAGGCCTCTTCAGGAAGATGGTAGGATGTAAGCCAGTAGCCACAACAAATCTGTGCTCAGCATTCCATGATGAGTCCACCCTGCCCCTGAGTGGAAACCCTCCTCAGGGACCTCCCAGCTCTGATGAGGGACACCCGAGGGGCCCTAGACCACTGCCCTATCAGGTAGTCCAGGGGCTCTGGTGGCACAGTGTCTAAGGCATTTGACTGCTAACCAGAAGGCTAGCGATTCAAACCCACCAGCCACTCCTCGGAAGGAAGATTGGGCAATCTACTTCATAGTGATACCGCCTCGGAAACCCAAGGACAGGTCACTATGAGTCGGATCTGACAATGGTAGTAAGTAGCCCCTCCTGCAGTAAGGACCTTACCACCCCTACTCCATCCCACAGAGCTGGGCCTGAAGAAAACTCCATCATAGAGCCTCTTGCCTATGTCATGGCCAGCTCTGGGTGTCCTGGACAAGATTCTCCTCAGGCCATGTCTGGCTCCTCCCACTCCAGGGAGCTGTGCAGAGACCTGGGGTGGCAACTAGAGCCCCCAAGGCTGAACCCACCCATTCCCAGGCAGAGTGGCCCTTAGAAAAACAAAGAAAGGGTCTTACCTTCAGGGCCACCTCTGGGGACAGAATGGACAGAGTTGGGGTCTGTATCCTCCTCTACCCAGGGATGGGGCAGAATCTTCGGCTGCTTGGGCACCTCCTGGGTTGGGAGGTCCTGTGCTACCTCCTGCAGTGGTGTGGTCAGGATGGTGTGGACACTGGGCTTGGCCAGGACCTCAGGAGCACTCGGCGTAGGAACAGGACCTGCTATGCCAGATGCCAAGGCAGGCCTGGCACCCTCCTGTTCTGTGCTGTGGGGGGTGGACTGGGCATCAGGGAGGAGGTTCTCTTCAGGCCCTGCCCTGGCTTCTGCCCCTACCTCATGGACCAGGAGACCTGGCCCAGCTGGACCTACAGTGGGCAGCCTGTCCAGCCCCTTCAGGCTGCCAGCTGCCAACTGCTCCATGACAGCTCCTTCCTCCTTTTCCTCTTCTTCCTCTTCTTCCTCTGCCCCCTCACTGTTCTCTGTCACTCTCCTAGCTTTCACCTGAGCAGGGGCTGGGGGGCCTAGGGCAGCTGCTGCTGTGGGCCTAGGGAGGACAGCAGGCCAAGGTGTCGCCTGGATGGCAGACAGGGGCTGACCTCTGCCTCCCAGAGCAGCTGGGCTCCCTGCACCTGCCTGAAGCTCTCCTGCCAAAGCCGCCACCGCCACTGCCTCTGCCTCAGCCACCTCCTGGTCATAGCTGTAGGGGTCTTCGTAGTGCCGCCCTGGGTCACCTTCCTCAGTGTCTGAGAAGTTCCTGGGGGCGGCAGTGGCAGCCAGCAGGGGCTCAGCATCTCCATTGCACCCAGGCAGCTGGTAGCAGATGAGCTCACCACCTGTGTCAGAACAGTGGCAGGCCTGGCAGGGTGGCAGGTGAACAGTGTGGCCAGCAGCATACTTGCGGCCCATATGGACACAGCCCACCTGGCCGCACTGTGGGCAACTATCTGCAGCCACTACAGCTTCAATGCAGTTGGGTGGCAGCTCCGGACACAGCATGAACTGGCAGCTGATCTTGCCACCACCTGGTGGGCAGAAGCACTCAGTGCTGCCGAAGTCTACAAAGTAGGACTGACCAGCAGGCACACGGCCACGCAGGAAGCCACCCTGCAGGCAGTCGTAGTACTGGTAGCCCTCGCAGGCACAGCCCTGCTGCACACAAGTGGCACAGCAGGCACCTGGCTCCAGCGCCTCCTCGATGCAGTTCTCTAGCTGTGGACACTCAATGCCTGTGCAGTCCTGTGGTGGGGCGGCCTCATCTGGACACACCAGGACCAGGACCAGGGTCAGCCAGGCTGCAGCAGGACACCAGAGCAGAGCCATCATCGCACAGTCAACTCAGGCACCACACCTCACGCTGGATGGTCCCCTTCTCTTTCAGGCCCTGAGGGATGAGGAAGGAAGCCTATAAGTGACCCATGCTGGGCCTGGAGCACAAATATGTGCACATATTCATGTGCAACACATGTGTGCATACACGCGTGTGTGCACTCACACACACGTGCACCCCCACATGCAAACATACCAGCAAATCAAAGTGTTTTGACCCAGTCTCCGTCTCCTTCATTCACATGTACATGTACATGCTTCCCCACACACTCTCAGTCATATTGGCTAAGGTATACACAGATTCTGCCACACATATGCCCTTCCACAGACCAGGTCACAAGGTCCCCACAGGGCCTCACATCAATTCACTTAGCCAGCCACTCAACCCCCACCCTCATCTCCATGATGGTATACACCCTTACTCTGACCCTCCTGCCCAGTCACACACACACACACACACACACACACACAAACACACACCAGACCCAAGAATGGGGCATACACATATACACACATGTACACACATGCATGCACACACTGACACACAAATAAACACACACAGCTGCCCCTTGCTCACAATCACACTTCCTGTCCAGGGCTCATGTCCAGCATGATATGGGAACATTGGTTCCTTCACACACTCTCCGTGACAGACATGTATTACACATACGCCACAGTAGATCACACATCCAACCTCCATCACCCCTACACAGTCACACACAATGTCTCACACACAGCCACACTCATGTGCCAGGACATATACAAATACACACGACCACCTAAATAATTTATCTCCCTAAGGAACTGTCCAGAAAGCCCATGGCTGATGGCGATAGGAGGTAGGCACCCAGGATGCTAGGCAGGAATAAGCCCCTCCTCAGGTTTGGGGCAGCCAGACATACCCCTAGCCCTCAGACCCAGGGCTCAGGAGCACCCCATGAGAGCACCCTGAAGTGTAAGTTTAGCTCCAGGAGTCACTCCTGCCACCCACCTTAGCCAGACCAACAAACATGACCACCATTTGTAGAATGATCCTGTCCACCTAGCATCCCTCACACCTCCCCGCCACCACATATATATATATATACCCCATGTCCTGTTGGTTCTCCCCCTGAAAGCTCTCCTCTCTCTCCTCACCATGCCTAGTCCCAGCTGAGGCCTCACCTCCCATCTGCCCCCAACATTTCTGGCTACCTCCCTATCCTCCCCCACGCCACCCTTCCCTTCCTTAGGAAGCCTGCATGATGTCTACAGTAGCTGATCAGACATACCCTGCCCCAAAGACCCATCACCAGCAAGTAGTAAGAAAGGTCCAAACCCCCAAGACTGTCTTCAAGCCCAAGCCCATATATAATCCCTTCTCCTCTCCCTGCCCAAAGTCCTGAGCTGCCCCAGCCCCTCCTCTTCACCATCCTTCCTTCACTATCTCTCAGTCCTCCCCCATCTCTACCCCGTGAAAGTCACTGGTTCCTACAGCCCCTGTGACTCTCCCAGGGTGACCTGCCCCCCACTGCACAAAGCTCCTCAAAGTCCCAGACAAGGGCCCTTCTCCACTAACTCCAGGCCTGAGCCTAGGTGCTATGCTAATGTTTATAGTCAAATTGCTAAAATGATCTGATGGGAAAAGAAAAAAGACAATGAAGCAACATCACTAGTATTTAAATAATTGTAATTTCAAACCTGAAAACATTTTTTTAAAAGTTTCTAAGGAAGAAGAGAAGGGAAGCCAAGAACTTAGCTGCAGTTGTTTCGAGAGAAAGCAGCCCATGTGCCACCAGCATTCCAGGGCAGAGCAGCTAGGGCAGGGCAAATGAGACCCGAGCACTGCTAGGGTTTGGAGCCCTGAGAGCCAACACTAGTGCCTGAAGAGGTAGTGAAAGGCCAGGTCCCTACACCTATAGGAGTCACTGCTCCTGGGGCCCAGCACAGCAGGAAGGGAAAAGGCCTGTCAGTAAACCAGACCCTCATGAGTACCTACTGTGTGTCATACTAGAAAAGAAGATCATGGCTGGTAAAGTTGAGGGGAAGCAAAAATGAGGGAATCCCTCAATCAGACTGACTGACATGACAGCAACAACAATGGACTCAAACATACCACCAATCATGAAGATGGCAGAGGACCAGGCCATGTTTCATTCTATTATACATAAGGTCACCATGAATTGGAGTCAATGGCAATGAACAACAACACTGTGTGCCAGGTGCCATCTGAGACCTGGGAACTTGTCAATGAGCCTTGTCCCTGCCCTCTCAGAACTGACATTCTAATGGGGGAGGCAGATCATAAACCTGCAAGCAAATCAGTAGGTAACTGAATGTCAGATGAAGAGAACAATGAAGAAATAAAGGAATGAGAGCAGGGGAATAGGACAGAAGTAGGTGTGGATGGTGGGAAGCCTATATAGCAAGGGTAGTCAAGGAAGGCTTACTGAGGAGGTGACACCTGAGCTGAGACATGAATGGATCCATGGAGTCACAGTTACATGACTATCTGGAGGCAAGTCTATCAGGCAGAAAGAATTGCATGGGCAAAGGGTCTGGAGCAGAGCCAGACAGGAAGTCTGTGATGATAGCCCACAGCTGGCATGGCTGGGCAGAGCAGGCAGGGGCAGAGTGATGCCAAGGCCAGGCAGAACAGAGACTAGTGGCTGAACAGAGTGGGAGGGCACACAGGCTCTATATTGCTGGTGCTATAGATTCTGACACTACCCTCCTGGGGGCTCCAACTGCTCTTTCCCAAGCCTCCTGGCCCCTGTTCAAGTCTTCCTAGTGTCTGGCTTCTGCAGACACCCCCTATCTTCACCTTGCAGGGAAGGGGAAGGGAAAGGCCTTGCCCTTCCTTTGGGACTCCCCCCTCCCTGCTGCATAGCCAGCCCCTGGGAAGTTGGCTGTTCAGCACCTGCAGGGCCAGTCATAGAGGCAAACACACTTCCCAGAGCCAGCACTCCCACCTCAAGGGGAGATGCCTCGGGAATCAGAAATGCAGAGTAATACTACCATAAACGGTCTCCCCCTATCCATTTGACTGCCAATGCTGAGAAAGCTGGATAATATAGCACATTAGTAATGACGGTGTTATTATTGTAATGCCCAGCTGGCCGAAGTGACGTGTCAGCTGGAGCAGCTACCTGATCCCGAGTACAGTCCTCAAAGCAACGGGCCTGTAGTGGTTACTGCAGCACTGTGCCGGTGATGGCAGCTGGTGGCAGGAGAAGGCTACCATGCTGGAATTTTCCAATTACCCAGACCCAGATTCCCTCCCTACTCTTCACCTACTCTGTCCCAAGAGGCTCACCTCCTCAGATGCATCCCTACATCCCCAGGGTCCTCCCTGCCCAAGCACCAGGCATCTGCTTGAAGCTGCTCTGGATATCCTGATCAACACCACCAATGACACCCTGCAGAGCAAGAAAAAAAAGCCTGGCCAAGCCCTGCCTAAACTTTTGACCAAGTTAAGTGATCACTATTGTTTTAAGCCATCAAGTGTTGGGGAAGTTGGCTATGTAGCAATAGATAACCAGAACAAGTGAGATATTAAGTCCACAATTAAGAGTAGACAGATCCAGGGGTGGGACATTTTATGGACAAATGATCCAGGCCTTGCAGCACCTAGAAAAAGCAGGGAGGAGAAAGTGCTCCAGGTAAAAGGAGGCCTATAGCTCAACCACCAAATGCATATGTGATCCCGACTAGACCTTGGTTTGAACACACCAGCAGAGAAAGACATGTGGGAAAGAAATGAGGACTTTGAGGGTAGACTAAGTACATGACTCTGTCAAGAAAAAAGGTGATTCTGTTAGGGCTGCCTTAGCAAATTCCACAAGGCAGATGGCTTTTAAGAACAGAATTTACTTTCTCACAGCTCTGGAGGCTGGGAGTCCAAGACCAGGGTATCATCGTGTTGTTCCCTTCTGAGGGCTCTGACAGCAAATCTGTCCATGCCTCTCTTCTAGCTTCTGGTAACAGCTGGCACTCCTTGGCATTCCTTGGTTGTAGATGCATCTCCATGTGGATGTCATCTCTGTCTCTATACCTCTTCTCCTTTTTTTCATGAGGACACCAGTCATACAGGATTAGGAATGACCTCATGTTAACTTAACTGACAACATCTTCAAACACCTATTTCCAAACATGGTCACATTCATAGGTATAGAAGAGGTTAGGACTTCAATATATCTGGGTTTTTTTTGGTTTTTTGTTTTGTTTTGTTTTGTTTTGAGGGAGGGGACACAATTCAATCAAACAGCAAATTCTGTAATATGCTCTAACAATACGGCAAAATGTTAGCAATGATTAAATCTAGCTGATGGATGTCTAAGTTCCTATAACCATCTTCGGCATTCTTCATAATAAAGAGCTACAAGGACAATGAGTGCTTATTTAAAATGGTGTATGTTAAGGGGCCTTTTAACATGCAGCATCTGTGGGAGTCTGTCTAGCTACTGTAATGAGTCTCTGCTCTTCCCTTCAGAGCTCAAGAAACTGGAGCAGGCTCAGGGAAGGAGCACATAAAAGGCAAAGTACAGACACCCAGACTGTCACAGCTCTTCAGTCTGCTGGTCAGACCCTGGCAGTAGGTGGGATGGGAGAATTCTACACTGAGCATTAGATCTTCAGGGCAATAACTGGGAAGAGTGCAGGACAGGTCAACAGAGGCCAAGGTTCACATTTGGCCACAGTCTCTTCCCATGGAAGGTCCAGCTGGAGACAGATGACTAACTATACTCGACACCAAAGTTGGTCTCATGTGCCCCAGCTGGTGGGACAGACTTTCCCCTGGAGATGTCCCCACTGATACGGGTTTAATTCTGTTTCCGAAAAAGATATGTTGACTGCTAGCCCCTATAGCTATGAAATAGAGTCTATTTCATATGGAAATAAGGTCTTTGCAGATGTAATTAATTAATATGAGGTCATACTGCAGTAGAAAAAAAAACTCAAAAAACTCTGACTCATAGGAACCCCCGTTGGGATTCTGAGGTGGTAAATCTTTA